ATCCCACTTAGGCCCCGGCGCTCGGACAGGGGGAAGCCGATGGCGGTGGCGATGGCCGGCGCGGGCGCGCGCGGCCCGTGCGTGTGCTGGTGGACATGGACGGCGTGCTGGCCGACTTCGAGGGCGGCCTCCTGCGGGCCTTCCGCCGCCGCTTCCCCGAGGAGCCGCACGTGCCGCTGGAGGAGCGCCGCGGCTTCTTCGCCCGCGAGCAGTACCGAGCCCTGCGGCCGGACCTGGCGGTAGGGAGTGGGGGTGGAGGGCGCCCGGAGGGGATCCGTGACCTCAAAATCCTCGGGAGCGGGAACTCCGACCCCACGGGACACCTGCCAGTGGGGAGCCCGCCGCTGGGGCCGGATGGTCTCTGCTCCGTTTCCGATCGCCCCCCTCCTGTCTAACCTCAGAACACACAGTTCACAGCAGGATAGGGGCAGCCCCCCCCGCCCCCCGCGACTTTGAGGTCCCCGCTGGGGCTAGATCTGCTGAGGCAGAAGCCAGGATGGGAACACTGTATCTTTCAGGACAAAGTCGCCAGTGTGTATGAAAGCCCAGGCTTTTTCCTCGATTTGGAGCCCATCCCTGGAGCCGTGGAAGCCATGCATGAGATGCACGCCATGCACGAGTGAGGGAGGCAGGGAGGGGCCAGGGGTGGGGGTGGGGGGCTGGCACCACCCTGCCTAACCGGCCTTCCCTGCAGCACCGAGGTCTTCATCTGCACCAGCCCCCTGACCAAGTACCAGCACTGTGTGGGTGAGAAGGTGCGGCCGCCCCAAGACAAACTTCCCTTCCAAGTCCTGGTTCTAAATAAACCAGCAGAAACCCAGGAGGTGGGGGGTTGGGGGGGAGAGGGGAGCCGCCTCTGTCAAAGGCCACAGACCCCACTCACACTGCTTCCTCCCTGGCCTGAATTCAGGGGCCCACGAGGCCCCACTGACAGACCTGTGCCCCCTACACAGTTCTCCTGGGTGGACAAGTATCTGGGGCCCCAGTTTGTGGAGCGCATCATCCTGACGAGGGACAAGACGGTGGTCCTGGGGGACCTGCTCATCGATGACAAGGACACCATTCTAGGTTGGATCTGTTTTTCTCGGGAACCTCCAGGCATCTGGCCTGCGGGGATTGGGGGGAGGGCGCAGAAACAACCAGTTCACAGATCGCGTGCCGCCTTTCTCCCGTGCCCCGTCCCAGGCCAAGAGGAGACCCCAGCCTGGGAGCACATCTTGTTCACCTGCTGTCACAACCAGCACCTGGTGCTGCCCCCCGAAAAGAGGCGGCTGCTTTCTTGGAGGGACGACTGGAGGGAGATCATAGAGAGCAAGCGGGACACCGCGGCCGTGGCCCCAGGGCGGTGGACAGTGCTTAAAGGAAGGGAAGACAGGCCGGCGGGGAAGCCCAGCAGAGCTAAGTGACCGGGCAGCCTCGTGCGGTGACCCCAGCGCTGGGGAGCAGGGGGACACAGCAACCTCTACTCTCACAGGCCAGCCACCTGGCACCTCCCGAGATGGCGGCACGGAAACACGGTGGGAAGTCAGTCAGGAACCTGTTAATAAAACAGTTCGGCTCACTGCTCTGTTCAGGCTCTTTATTTGGGAGAGGAAAGGGCAGGAGCCCGAGGGCTGCCGTTGGAATGAAGGCTGAGAGGCCTTCCCCCTCTCCCCAGAGGCCCCAGGACCTGGCCCACCTCCCTGCCCCCTGGATGCCATTCCTCTCGCAGCTGCCCTCCCTTGGTCATGTGAGAGGTCAACCTTAAGGGAGTACAGATGACCAGGACTCCCCACCACTCCTGAACCCCAGCTTCCCATGGGTGCCCCACACCCCTTCCCTGTGCTGACCAGCATACACTGGACTACGAGCCACACACTTTCGGTCAGTATCTGGTCCTGTCTCCCTGCGCACCACTCCACCTGCATCCCCAAAGCCTCCTGAGACGCATTTCCAGGGGCAAGGACTCCCCCTCACTGATGGCAGGGCTTTCAGGCGAGGACATGGGGGGGTGGGGATAAGACGCAGCTCCAAGGGTTTGTGCCTGTGTTCTGATGTCACCACCCTCATGGCCTGGGTCTTAATGCATGATGGTCACGTTAACAGACATTGGGCTGCGTCACACAGGAGCAGGGACCACGTCTTCATCCTGGAAGCCCTCCCATTGAGCCTGGCAAATGGCCTGTGTGGATAAATGGTTACTCCTGGGCCAACACCCACTATGCCCGGTGCCCAGAGCCTTGAGATAGTGTTAACAACAAGGCTTCTCATTCCTGTTCCTCACAATGACCCCAGGCCCTCAGTGAAGGGATCAGGCTACCCCCACAAGTGCGGGCAGCTTCCCGAAGCCCCAGGCCCCGCTGCTCTCAGGAGAACCACCTTCTGCAAAAGCCTCTGGACCTTGGGCCCAGGTTGCTTCTTACAGGAGGGAGAGCCTGGCAGTGGGTGGGTCAGTGGCAGGCCCTGGGCCGTCCCTTGGTTGAGGACAGCCTAGGAAGAAGGCGCTGCCTTTGACTTCCTTCTCCACATCTCAAAGTCCGTCTTCCTCAACTCCTCTCCTAGCACCTGAATCCTGTGCCAGTGCCTGGCAGGCTGAGGAAACTCACCTTTAAAACGGCTGAAAAGGCACCAGCTGGGGAGAAGGTGCTCGGGGGGGCTAGCGGCTCCTGTTCCCAGCCCCCACCAGGATTCCGGTCTTGTCTCCGACAGTAAGAGAACCGCGGCCCTGAGGTCGCCGTGGGTCAGGGCTGCTGTGGGGCCTCGGTCCTTGGCAGGGGGATGCCCAGGGCAGAGTGAGCCGGCCGGCGGCGGGCTTCGGCCACCTGGCTCGGGGAACAGAAGTCTTCCAGGAAGACCTGGGCCAGGTTCCGGAGCCGCGTGTTGGCCGAGAGGGAGAAGCGCAGCATGCACTGGACCACGGGTGTGGCGGTCAGCTCGGGGTGGGAGCTGGGGCCTGGCGAGCTCAGGTACATGATGGTGGTGACAGCGGACAGCACAGTCTCCTCCTTGGGGCTGGACAGGCAGTTGATGATGAGCGGGACGCCCCCCGTCTGCAGGATGTGCTCCTTGTTGGCCCTGTCTGCGCACAGGTTGCAGAGGCCGCCTGGGGGAGAGCAAGGTAAGTCTGGACGCTTCAGCCCCAGCCTCCTCCCTTCTCCCCTTTCTGCTGCTCTCTGCCACTGAGGCGCAGGGAAGGGCCCGGGCCTGTGAGAAGGTGGCCCAGGGACAAGGGATCCAAAGCCCATTCTGGTTTCCAGAAAGGCCTGCCTGCCTGCCTGCCTGCCACGGCCTAGCCTGAAAGTGGGCACTTACCTCTCGGTCCAGCCAGTTCAATGGTTGATATACTTTTTTTAAAAGTAAAAAACAGTCACCAACCCTGGGACCTTTTGGCCCCAGATCTTCACAAACTGCCACCCTCTTGCTGATAACCAGCACTTTCTGCTCCCTCACCAGTGAGGGTTCCCTGGAGCACCCCACTAGCCCCTCCCCGCCGGGTCTGGGGGACTCCTCACCACCCCGATCCATTTTCTCAGGTGCTCAGAACACTTGAGAAGGCGTCTTTGCGGACCGTTTTCCTGTCACTGCCTGCCAGGCCCCACTAGCAGGTGCGTGTCTGCCATCAAGACCTCAGCTTCCTCTTGCATCCCAGCCACCCAACGACTTGCCACCCAGACGGAGGAAGACCCGGAAACCCGGGGGCCGTGTGAGCCACGGCCACATCGGCCAGCACAGGAAGCACCCGGGAGGCCGAGGTACTGCGGGTGCCTTGCGTCATCACAGGACCAACTCCCAGGGTTACCGCCTGGGCTCCTCTGGGAAAACTGAGGCATGAGCACTTAGAGAGGACCCAGAGCTTCTGCCCCACTGTCAACCTCGATAACCTGTGGGCCGTGGTCGGTGAGCAGAGGAGTGGAGCTGTTATCACTGACGTGCGGTCCCTACTAGAGTCCTGGGGAAGGGGAGGCTCCCACAGCAGCCTGTCACCATGGAGGCCAAGTTCTTCAGCAGAAGAGCTGAGGAGAAGATTAAGGTGTGTGTGTGTGTGAGTGTGAGTGTCCTGATAGTTTTTTGTTGTTTTTTTTAAAGATATTTTTATTAATTTCAGAGAGGAAAGGAGAGAGAGAAAGAGAGAGAGAAGCATCAATGATGAGAGAGAATCACTGATCAGCTGCCTCCTGCACGCCCCCTCCCCTACCAGGAATCAAGCTCGCATGTGCCCGGCATGTGCCCTGACCAGGAATCGAACCATGACCTCCTGGTTCATAGGTCGATGCTCAATCACTGAACCACCCAGGCCGGGCTGTGTCCTGATAGTTTGAAGCCACATAGAGGGAAGTTCATTAAATGCTCACACGTTCTTTGGTTAAAAAACAAAAAACAAAACAAGCCTCGGCTGTCTTATTCGGTGCCTGACCCAAGGGGCACTCCAGGAATATTTGTTGGAAGGTTTTAAAGCAGCGAGGGAAGGAAAGGGTTGACCTGCAGAGGGTTGGGGGCTGCATGGGATGGCTCCCTGAGACCCAGCCCACCTTGGACCCCCGTAGTTCTGGATCCGGGCTGTGGCTCCCAGACAGGGTGCATCTGAGGGAGGCAAGGGGCTGAGTGGCGTTCCTGAGGTCAGGAGGGGAGGGAGACAAGGCTCTGATGGAGAGGTCCCTGCCTACTGGACACCCCCAGGCCTTCCTGTCAATCTTCCCTCCGTGCCCATTCACCCGTGTAGCACTTGGCACACTGGGCCGTCCCTTGTGTCTTTGTACTGCGGCCTGTCCTCGTCACTGCGCACCATAAGGCAGGGCCCCGCTCTCTGGTGTCCCTCTGTATCCCGGGCACCTACAGCTGTGGAAACTCACTGGACACATGCCGGGGACACGAATGAACCCCAAAAAGTATTACCCTCACCCCCATTTCAGCAGAAGCCAAGGCTGTGGAGTAACTCGTCCAAAGTCCCAGAAGATGGGAGCCCTTTGCCACAACCATGGGAAAAGGTGTCCCGAAGCTCCAAGGACAACTGTGCTGTGGGCAGGTGCCAGGCTCGACTAGGAACAGGGACCAGTGCAAATGCTTGGGGAGGCCTCAGGCTTCTCAGACACACCTGCACGTCTCTCCTGCCCTGAGAGTGTGAACCAGCCTCCTATCCACCCTGCAGACGCAACCCAGGGGTGGGGATAGGACTTATCTCGCTGTAAAGTAGGAGACAATGAGGACTCAATCACTCTCTGGCTGGTGAGTCATCATCGCACCCAGGAGTGCCTGGGCGGGACACTGCCACCCAAGCCAGGGGATAACCAGATGGCAAGCCCTGCAGGGTGGGGGCAGGAGGCCTCAGGAGAGCAGGCCCCACCTGTGCCCTGTGCCCCAGTTGCAGGCCTGGGAGCCTCCACGGATGGATCAGGTACCTGCCAGAGCTCACAAGTGCCTGGGTCCAAACACAGGGGGGAGGGTCTTTTATAAAGGCTCCAAACTAGAAACAACTCAAATCTCCAACAACAGGTGAATGGATGAACACATCAGGCACATTCATTCAGAAACACGAACTAGCCCGGGCCGGGTGGTTGGTTAAAGCGCTGTCCCGTTCACCAGAAGGTTGCGGGTTCGATTCCCAGTGAGGCCACATACCTAGGATGTGGGTTCTATCCCTGGTGGGAGCTCATACGGGAGGCAACTGATGATGTTTCTCTCTCTAGAACATATCCTTAGGTGAGGATTAAAAAAAAATACCCTAACAATTGGGATGAATGTCAAAAACATTTGTGGAAGAAAAGGGGGCCACATACTAACTGTGCACAGTGGGCCCACAGACGCAGAGATGGAGAGGAACCACAGGATGACCTGAACTAAAAATTCCTAACGAAAAGTGGGTCATGGCGGGCGGTCACAGCCTAGGCCTAGAGCTTCCTTGACAAGGGCCAATCTTCATCTTAAGTGAGCCTGCCTGCTGTCTTTTTGCATGTGAGATAACATACCACCTTTTCCTGTAATTTTTTGCAGCACCACAGCAAGGACCACAGAACCCTTCATTGTTACCTGTTGCCCACACACTACCTCTATGTGCTGTAAATGTTTACAATGTAAAGAAGTGTCCCCCTGTTTTATTCTTTATCACTCTCAGAGATTCCCCGCTTGGCTTTCTCCCGCTTCCCTAATCCACCACCCATGAATTTCGGGTAGCCGCCCCTTACATCTCCTCCTTTGATTCTAATGTATAAATTAAGCTGTAAAACTGTCATTCTCTGGATCATTTTCTCAGTCCATTGAGATTTTGCTTCTCAGCAATTGTCAGTTTGACTCAAATATAAAAATTCCCTACAGGTTTGGATGTTTCTTAGGTCGATACATCGTTGAGTGAAAGAAACTAGACACGAGTACACATCCTGACTGGCCTGAGTGGCTCAGTGGTTGAGTGTCGACCCATGAACCAAGAGTCACCAGATTGATTCCGGGTCAGGGCATATGAGTAGGGGGTGTGCAGGAGGCAACTGATTGATGCTTCTCCCTCATCATTGATGTTTCTCTCTCTCTCCCTCTCCCTTCCCCTCTCTTTCCCTCTTCCTTCCCCTCTCTCTAAAATCAGTAAATACTACTACTAATAATAATAACAACTTTTTTTAAGAGTATACATCTGCATGATCCCACTAATATGAAGTTCAAGAATAGGCTAAAGTAATCCATGGGGATAGAGGTTAGGTTAGCGGTTACCTTGGGGTGGGAGACACTAACTGGGAGGGGGCACGAGGGACCTTTCTAAAACCTGGTCAGGGCTGGTTACATTGACGTACATCCACTGTACTTAAGGTACGTGCATTGTACTGTATGTTCACCAGGCTGCAATTTAAAAATGGTTACCAAGCAAAAACGAGAACAAGTCTCAACTGGCTGGTGGACGTTTTGGACAAACCAGACAAGAGAGAAAAAGAAAAGAAGACAAGAGGCAAAAGAAGGGCCCTTGTAGACACAGGGAACCACAGAAACCCCTGGGAGAGGCAAAAGAGAAACCCCCAAATGCGGCCCGGGATGAGGAAGCTGGAGGCTCTCAGGGGTCAGGTAGGTGACTGTGGGTCACACAGCAAGTAGGGCCTGTTGCTGGGAGAGCCAGGACTGTCCCAGGGATTAAATGAGGTCATGCTGACACATGCTTAGCCAGCACCTGGTGCCTGGAGGCGGGGCGGGGCCCTGGAGAGATGGCCCAAGACATCACTACCTCTGAGGACCCGCCTGCCCCGGGCTGGCCACAGTCCATCCCAAGTCAAAAATCTTCATTTGTTCTTGGGACTATTTGTTCTTGGGTTTTACTTTAGCATCTTGAAAATGGTTCTTTCTGAAATTTCAAATTTGGAGGACAGAACAGTGTATTAAAAAAGCTACCATTATGTAGAAGAAGGGAGGCGTGGGGGACAAATATATGTTTACTAGAAGCATTGCGCAGCCCTGCCCACCCACGCTGGTCTTTGGCCGTTATGGTGTTAGGGCCACAGGCCTTTTATAATATAGATGCTCACAGTTGCTGGTTCTTCATGAGGAGAGGGCTGTGGAAGAGATGGGAATGGGGGGAGACTTCTTTAAAACCCTGTAATAGAGTTTTGACTTAAACTGATGAATTTCATTTCAAGACATTTATCCTACAGATATAGACCCACAAGTAAGAAATGAAACTCCAGTAAGGTATCTACTGAAACACTGATTGTGTTGGCAAAATGGAAAGCAGCTAAACACCCATCCCTAAGCGTGGCTAAGCCTCAGTGCCTCCACGCCAGGGAACAAACACCACGCCGCTCTACAGAATGACTGACACTGCAGGTGTGTCAAGATATGCTGCTAAGTTAAAAAAAAAAAAGGCAAGCAGAATATAGATATAGTATACTACCACATGTGCAGAACATGTAACAATATATTCATATAGATATATACATGTTTGCAAATTCCAAAAAATATTTAAGAAACTAGTAACAGTGGTGAGCTACAGAGAAGGCTAGCGAGGGAGTTACTTTTCAATACCTTTTAAATTTTGTACCATGTGAATCAATTATGCATTCACATAAATTAATAACACTCAAACACACACGTATACGCGCACGCACATGTGCTCTCTCTCACACACTCACACACTCCTTGTGCCTAGAACTAAGAGATGGGGAATTGGCTCTCTGTAAGTCAGGAAAGATGGTGGAGGCTGCCCTCGTCCCCATGAGGCCAGCCTGGGGCCAGCCTTCTGAGCCAGCGAGGAAGGGAGCAGTGGGTGAGAACCTCCACACCACCTCCATCCTGTAAGGGGAACTGCCACCGGTGGATGGCTGAGGAACTTCTCAAGCAGAAGCTGCAGGACCGCAGGAGCCTGACTGATCAGTGCGAAAAGGATGTACGGGGGAGCCCAGAGGATGAGGACGGAGCAAGGGCTCCATGGTGGGCAGACCCGGTTAGAACCAGTTCCGCCACTAAGGATTTAGGTGACCAGAGCAAGCAACTCAATTTCTCTAAGCCTTGGTTTCTTCATCAGTAAAATGGGCAGAGAGAATGAAATAATGTGATTGAGGCCCCTCCCTGGCGCACAGATGTGGATCAACAAGGCACCTGTTCACAGCCCCAGAGGCTGGCACAGGGCCATACCTGCAAACCACACACACAGCAAAGGGCTGACACACACAGGTCAGTTTGGCAATGATAAAGCAAATGCCTGTGGAACCAGCCCCCAGGTCAAGAACAAGAACACTGTCAGCAATCCAGAGCCTGTGTCCCTTCCTCAACCAATTCTCTCTCTGTGGTAAACACTTTCCTGGTTTGTAATAATTTAATGACATAATTTTTACTAAGCAGACCTTTTATCTTTTTAACCTAAAATATAGGGTTTTTAAAGAAGTCTCCCTCCATTCCTGTCTCTTCCACACATCCCTAAACACTATTGCCCACTTCTGCCTGTTTGGGGGACTTTATAGAAATGGAATCACACTGTATGTATTATTGTGTCTAGCACCATTTGCTTACCGTTACAGTTATAACATTATTGCCCTAGCCCAGCCCTGGGCAAACTACGGCCCGCGGGGCCCGTTTGAAATGAATAAAACTAAAAAAAAAAAAAGACCGTACCCTTTTATGTAATGATGTTTACTTTGAATTTATATTAGTTCACACAAACATTCCATCCATGCTTTTGTTCCGGCCCTCCAGTCCAGTTTAAGAACCCATTGTGGCCCTCGAGTCAAAAAGTTTGCCCACCCCTGCCCTAGCCCGTTTGGCTCAGTGGATAGAGCATCGATACCCACAGACTGAAGGGTCCCGGGTTCGACTGTGGTCAAGGGCACATATCAGGGTTGCAGGCTCGATCCCTGGCCCTGAGCAGGGTGTGTGCTGGAGGCAACCAATCGATGGGTCTCTCTCACATGGATGTTTCTCTCTTTGTCTCTCCCTCTCCCTTCCACTCTCTTTAAAAATCAATGAAAAAATATCCTCAGTAAGGATTAACAAAAAATAATTAAAAAAAATTTTTTTTAAATTATAACATTATGACATGTAGTTGTTGACTGTTCATTTACTAAACTGTTGCTAAATAGTAGCAACATCCCACAATGTTGGTATCCATCCTACTGTTTACTGTTTCTAGTTTGTCTGTTACAAGTTTGCTAGTGCCATTTTTGCACATGTGTCTGGATATGCATGTATCCGATGACTGTAACTGCTGGGTCATGGGGTAACCTAGCCTCAATTTTACTAAATACTGTTTTCCAGAGAGGCCCCTGAGGACTTATCTATACCTGCCTTTTACTGAGCACCACCACCATCTAGTGGCAGCTACGTGTATTACAGGAAATAGAGCACAGGAAAGAGATTTAAACTGAATTCTGGGAGGCAACCTATTTGAACCCTGTTTTGGTAACAAGACTGTCAAGTATTCTGTGATGTCCTAGTATTCAACCAGTTTTCACAGAAGTAGAGGATTCTCTCCTGGTCCCTTTATGCCTCCATACGGCATCTAAGATGGTGCAGGTGTGCACACGCAGCATATAGGATGCCTGAGAGTCAACCCATGGTGCTTTGGGCAAACATTTCCAAATTAATGCCAAAGGCTGCCAGAGTTTTTATGTGGGGCACAAGCTCGGAATACTCATTCAAGTATTTGCTGAGATCCTGGCTTTATATCTGGTTCCCCATAATTCACTCACTTCCCACGCCCTGTCCTACCTTGAGCAGTACCATCTCCTGGTGATAGTTCCATTTAAAACCTGGGCCAGGGGCGACTTGCCACCAGAACCATCCCAGGGATATGCTGGAGGTGGCCAGGTGCCATGGGAACCAGGGGAGAAGACACAATGGACTCCGGCATTGGCTCCGGCAGCCGGGTCCCCTGGGCACAGAATTTGGCTCCAGTTAGTGCTCAGTGTGAGCCTCAGGCAATGGGACTCACCTCACTGAGGTGCTGTTTCACCACCGGTACAGAGGGCTCAGTACTACGGATATTTATTTAGCGTAATAATCTTCCTGAGGGGCAGAGACATACACTAGCACCACTCTTAGACATGGGCCACTGGGGCTCCTGCCCCTGGCTCAGCTCTAGCAGTACTCACTCTGGCCCGCTCCACAGGCCAAAAAATCCAGAGAACCTACCCAAAGTCCTCCCTTCCCCACACCAGGCCCTGAATCTCCTCCCACAGCGCATGGGCCTTTCCTGGATTCCTGACTCCGAGGGTGAACCCCATGGTTGGTGTGCACACTAAGTCCGAGGAGAGGCCACAGGCAGGTGTGTGTGGGGTGTGAACAGAATTGGGATGTCCACACACGTGTGTGAAGACCTGTCGTGGTGAGAAGATCAGGGGTGACTCCCATTTGGACTCTAGCCACAATACCACAAACATCAGGGGCAGACATGGGTGGTCTTTCAAAATTTTCAATCACACTCACCTATGATGTATTCGGCGGAGTGTGTGTGTGTGTGCGGGGGGGGGGGGGGACGGGGGGAGTGTTACTTGATTCTATCAAGGCTTTCAATCTAATTTCTAGGTTACAGGAAATTAAAGGGGATGTGCCCTTGACTGTAATCAAACCCAGGACCCTTCAGTCTGCAGGTTGACGCACTATCTACTGGGCCAAACCAGCGAGGGCGAAAAATGTTATTTTTTTAGAGATGCAGCTGAAAAAATAATTTGTTTGCCTTCAGAATAAATTCCAAACTCTTTCCCGCAGCCTAGATCTAAGCCCCTCCCTGCCGTCTCTGGTGCTGCCACCTCTGTAACCTCACTTTGTCCCGCTCTCTGCTTCACTTCACTGGCCACATTCCTGACACATCAGCCTTCCTCTGGATCCTCCTGCTTCAGGGTGTCCCACCCATCACATCCGCCTGCCCATGATGGCCGAAGTGGGGCCGCCCCATCTCCTATTGCCCTATCCTATCATCCTGTGAATGTCCTTCAGAGCCTCAGCCTTTTTGTTGGTTTGCCCACCATCTGCCTCCCCCTGTCCCTGCGGGCAAAGGCCTTTCCCCCGACTTGTTCGCCATCTCTTCAGCACTTAGGACAGGACCTTGCTCACACAGTTCATGCCCCATAATTATCTGTCCAGTGAATAATTCAATAGATCTTAGACCAGCGGTTCTCAACCTGTGGGTCGCCACCCCTTTGGGGGTCGAACGACCCTTTCACAGGGGTCGCCTAAGACCATCGGAAAACACATATATAGTTACATATTGTTTTTGTGATTAATCACTATGCTTTAGTTATGTTCAATTTGTAACAATGAAAATACATCCTGCATATCAGATATTCACATGACGATTCATAACAGTAGCAAAATTGCAGTTATGAAGTAGCAACGAAAATAATTTTATGGTTGGGGGTCACCACAACATGAGGAACTGCATTAAAGGGTCGCGGCGTTAGGAAGGTTGAGAACCGCTGTCTTAGACCATAAGTGATCCTAAGTCACCCCTACTTTCCTTGATAGGAAAACATTAAAATAAAGATGTTTAAAAGAGCACTCTAAATATTTTTCTCTCCGAGTGGCTTCAATCCATCCCTTCATTTATGATCTCATCTCTAAGCAGGTGGGAAGGCAGCAGGCAGAGGGTCCCGCTCGCTGTGGCCCGGACCGTGTGCGCCCCGAAGGCTGCCATTGCGGTGAGGGGCTGCCCGAGGTCTCTTCCCAACCACTCACTTCCGACTCGCTTATCTCACCATCAGGCATCCGTGGCCGCCCCATCCTTACCAATAGCAAACTCCACCAGGGTCTCGTTCTCCTCCGACAGCGAATCGAGGAAGAGATCCAGGACCTGCAGCTGTCGCAGATACTGGTAGTTGCTGGGGTCATAGGCGAAGTTGGCGAGGTTGGCCAGGACTTGCTCCTTGGCGTCTGCAGCGGAAAAGCGGCACTGGAGCCAGGTCCGGGGCGAGGGGCGCGGGCGGATCCCCGCCCTGTCCCCGGACGCCCATCCGTCGCTCTCACCTTGGCTCTCCGTCTCCTGGAATTCCGTGACCAGCGCCTGCAGGTATCCCAGCCGTCCGACGTGGGGGTCTACCTTCGGCTTCTGCGCCATGACCGGGGTGGCGGAGGGTGCACGGGGGACAGCAGGAGAGTGCGGCCGATGAGGCCGGAGAGGCGGGCGGGACCTCCCCGGGCGAGGGCGGGCCCGGACGGGACACAGGCTCCTCTCCTAGCTTCGGGCTGGGCAGTGATTTGCACCTGGCACTGGGATGTGGTGTGATCAGGACTGTGGAAGAGTTGGGCGTGAAAATCTAAACTGGGGCGCAGAAGACACGGAAGCGACCGGGCACCGGAGGAGGGAGCTGCTGGGTACGGTTTCCCGCTGGAGCCCGGACTTCCGGCGGAAGGCGTGCTTAGCTCCGCCCCAGAGGGCGGGGCGGGGTTGGCCCAGGCGGACCAGGGGCGGGGCCGTCGTGGAGCTCGGCTCGCATGCGCAGTAGACGTCACGCCTCACCGCCTGGGCCCAAGGCGAAGGGCTGTGGATGCTTACGGGGACAACACAGTGGTTCTCAACCTTCCTAATGCCGCGACCCTTTAATACAGTTCCTCATGTTGTGGTGACCCCCAACCATAAAATTATTTTCGTTGCTACTTCATAACTGTCATTTTGCTACTGTTATGAATCGTCATGTAAATATCTGATATGCAGGATGTATTTTCATTGTTACAAATTGAATATAATTAAAGCATAGTGATTAATCACAAAAACAATATGCAATTATATATGTGTTTTCCGATGGTCTTAGGCGACCCCTGTGAAAGGGTCATTCGACTCCCAAAGGGGTGGCGACCCACAGGTTGAGAACCGCTGGAACAGCATCTCTAGGGCCCTTAGGAGCCCAGAGTTGGCCGGTTGTCGAGGCAGAACCACCGCTAGATCCCCTTGCATCTGATGAGGGGGCACAGGCCAGCCTCCTCGACCAAAGGACGCCCCACTGGAGCGTGGGCACCAGCTCCCTGAGCCCCCCCTCTCACGGGCCCTTTTCCAAGAAGCCGCGAGAGCCTGGCACCCCATGCTCCCCAGCCCCGAGCTGAGCCCTCCACCTCTGGTCTGAAATATCAGGGACCGGGTAAGGCTGTTTGCCCGCCAGGTGGACAGGGAGCGCTGGGGCAGCACCCACCCAAATGTACGGTGTTGGCCGCTTTCTGGGTTGGGGAGCAGCCCTGGTGGTGAAGCCCTTCGGCCCGATTATTTCTTGGGGCTTCTCAGGAAGGTAGTGTGTGACCGGGACCTCATAGGCACTGGGTTTATAAAGCACCAGGTTAGGAGGTGGTCCTACCGCACTCCCACGGTGCTTGAATGTGAAGGTAAAGGAGGCCTGGGCTGTGAGCTTCTTCAGGGCAAGGACCATGTGCCTTTGGCCCTGGGCCATACTCCACCTGCTACAGCCCCATTGGGAGCAGGCCCACGGGCTCAGGTCCCTGTGGTCAGCCTTTGCCTGATGCACCATCCCACCCCCGACCCCCGCCCTGGGCCTGCATAGTTATGGCCATAGTCTGGGTGCTTGGATATCCAGGCTGCTTCTTTGGGGACCGGATGCGACCTGGGGATGTTCACTCAGCCAAAGGTGGCCAGGGGGTTTCTCTGCCTCTGGCCGGACAGAGCAGCAAAGGCTTGTGGACACCATGGAAACGAGCTCCACCCTGTGCTACTCGGGAACTGCCCCAGACCAGCCAAGTGTGGTTCTGGAATCAGATGGGCCACCCATCCTCCCTCCTGTGTTTCCTCCCAAGACCTCAGGGGCCCTCCCTCCTTGGGGAAATATTCTCAGCCCTTGGTTTTGTGTTGAGGGCATTCACCAGTTCTTACTGGTTATCTGTCCAGTCCCAGGCACACAGTAGATGCTTAATAAATATTTGCCTGGTGATTATGGTTACTGTTGCCTGGGGCAGATGAAGTCAGAGTTCTTTGTGCTGAATGTTCACTGATAATCTTTTTTTCCTTAAAAGAAATCTTTTAAGGAAGTGGGCCTATTAGGGGAGGCACGTTTCAAAGCCTGGGAGCTACTAGTACCAAAAGCATTTACCTACTCACCAACCCGACTCCCTCCTTTTCCACTCCATGAAGATGGAGGAGATAGGACTTGGTAAAATGTGCCCAGGCCTTCCCCCTTCCGTTCACAAACTGTGGGTGGTGGCGGGGTGGGGAGCAGGCAGGTAGTGGGGCTCTTCAGGATCCGACTTTTCAAACTGGAAGAGACTTTAACTTATCCAGGCCAGCCTCCTCCTTTTTAAAAGCCCAGAGATGCTGAGCAATTTGCCCAAAGGCACACAGTAAACTGAGGCAGAGTCAAACGCGAACTCGGGTCTCTACTATCCTAGCCTTTTTGTCGCCTCTGCACTACTTTCTTTGGCCATAAGGGGGCACTCGTGGCAGGGTCCTGGAGAGGACAGGACAACCCCAAGGATGCTTACTCAGGCCGGCTGGACAAGTGGAGGAGGAAGGCTAGAGGCGGATCATGAAAATAAAATCAATCCTCCTGATAAGGTTTTCTCGTTGGAGCCTGGTTGAGCCTGAATCAACAAACGAGGCCCTGGGCGTGAGCAGCCCCTGCTAAGCTGGGAGGACTGAAGGGGGAGGAGGACTTCTCCTGGCCTGTTTTCCTGCTTCATTAGCTCCCGGGGTTTATAGCTTGCTGCAGGAAACACTTCTGTGTGTAATTCAAACAAACTTTCTCGGTTCCCTGGTTCCCTCGGTCGGGCCCTGCTGGGACAAGACTGCGCTGATGACAGCCCGCCCCCCCACGGTGACGACCTCAAGGAAGGGCACCAGCAAAGGGTGTGTGGGGAGAGCTCTGACCTCCAGACCACAGACACAGGCCCATGGGGAGCAGGGGGGACTGGCAGCTGGCCCAGCCAGCTACTCACCCAGGGCTGACGCCTCTGACACAGCAGGGAGACGAGGAGGGCGGGAGAGGGGAGCAGAAGGGCTTCTGTTGGGAGGGCAGCTCTATTTCCACAGAGGCCCTTGGGCCCTGCCTAGCAATCCGACCCTCCCTGCTCAGTCAACTGTCCGGCGTCTCCCACCCAACCCCAGCACTAATCTTCCCGGTCACAATACTGGGTGGGGCAAAGGAATGAGACCCTGGAGCCGGCTCTGCTGACTGTGTAGGGCAGTGGTTCTCAACCTTCCTAATGCCGCCACCCTTTAATACAGCTCCTCATGTTGTGGTGACCCCCAATTTCATTGTTACAAATTGAACATCATGAAAGCATAGTGATTAATCACAAAAACAATATGTAGTTATATATGTGTTTTCCGATGGTCTTAGGCGACCTCTGTGAAAGGGCCGTTCGACCCCCAAAGGGGTGGCGACCCACAGGTTGAGAACCGCTGGTGTAGGGGTTCCTCAGACTTCACTGATTCAAGGACCCAAGTCAGGTGCTCCCCTCCGATTCTCTGCACAGACGCCAGGACAGGGGCTCCACCGACATTTAATCTGTCTGAACCGTGCATCCAGGCTCATCTGCAGCTTGGCCACCCACGGCTGCACAGACGCCAGGACAGGCGCTCCGCCAGCATTTAATCTGTCCGAACCCGGCATCCAGGCTCATCCGCAGCTTGGCCACCCACGGCTGCAGGCCACCACCAATTCTCTCCCAAGGCCCTTCTTCCCGAGTCCCAATCAGTGGGAGGCCCAGCAACTGGTGCTGGGGGCAGCCCCGAGGGCAAGGGCTGGGCCACAGGGAGGAAGGGGGGCAGGAGGGCTTAGGGGGCTCTTTGGAACTGTCTGGAGCTGGAGAAGGACAGAGAGGCCACCTCAGAAGCATCCAGGCTGGACCTGAAGGCCCGGTGTGTTGAGTTGTAGCAGCGGCAGTGGGCAGCCAGCTGAGCCCCGTCGGCCATGAGAGACCCAAGCAGAGCTCAGACCCACCTTCTTGGGCCCCAAGTACCCTGGTGCCCAAGGAAAAAAGTCAGGAGGACCGGCTCCTGGATTCTGCTCGTCGGAAGGAACCCTGAGTCTTCGGAGGCCAGCCTCCAAGGCCCCAGCCCCTGGCTGAGTCCCGACCTGCGGGGCGGGCCGGCCAGCCCTTTGGTTCAGGCTTCACCCGGTGAAACAGCAGGACATCGCGTTCCTGGGCGGAGGCAGTGTTCGCTCACTGCCCTCGGGGCTCAGATGCCGGTCACACATGTGATCCTGGGGTTCAGACGCTGGTCACATACATGATTTCTTCGGTGCACAGCCGCTTCTCCGGACTGCCTGTGTCCTCCCTGCCGAGGGCCCGCAGCGGGGCCGACTCCGGGACGGCTGCTTCCGCCTCGGCCGGCCTGCCCTGCCTCTCCTTCTTCTGAAGCGCACAGAAGCCGCCACCCATGAAGAGGGCGGCGGAGACGAGGAAGAAGCTTGACATGTAGAAGACGTAGCTGAAGTTGCTGTCAGTGTTGTCCAGGACGAGCCCTGAAGGACAGAGAGCAAGTTAGGCCACGGCCCAGGGCTGCCAGCCCCCCACGGCCCTGTGCGCTCCGTAAGAGCAGGGCTTTTAGTTTTGTCTCTGTCAAACCCCAGGACTAGGAACTGGGGCTGGCACCTACTAGGCACTCAGTAAATAGTTGGTAAAGGTGAGGGGGAGAGGAAACACTAGACCTCCTCTGGCCCAGGCAGGAAGAGTCCTCGGGCCAAAGAGCACTTAAGGGCATGTCTCGCTCACCCGGGGGGCAGGGAGCAAGGGCCAGTGAAGTCGGGATATCGGGATATCGGGATCGGCTCGGCCACGCCCTGGGCCCCCCAGGCCTCTCCCAGCGAGCTCTCTGCACTTGCTGGCGTGTGGGGTGGGGGGATCCCGTGGAAACTGGGCCTTCCCACTCCACACTCGGGGCAAGAGTCCCCGTCATCTAACTGTAATGACGGCAGCCACGCGTTGTCTGTGTGACTGTCCCCCGGCACCAAAGGCTTCACAAACCTTCCCTTTTGCTCTGCATGTCACACCTCTCGTGTGGGGCTCTGTTTCTATACCTGCACGTTTCCCTCCCGGCACAAAGCGCCCCTGGGCCCCCAAACACGTCTCCTCACTTTGATTGCCGTCTCTCTCTCTCCCCCCAGAGGGAAGTCTCTGCCTCCGGCCGTGGGCACCGTGACAGGCACAGGCCAATCCTTGGTGACGGCAGGTGTCCTTTTCTGCATTTTGCAGATAACACTGTGGCTCAGAGAAGGTCAATGAGGTGCGGGGTCGGTCCCACGGGCAGGAAGTGGCAGACCCAGGATGTCAATAACAGCCGATCCGTGCATAGTACTTACTCTGCCATCTTCTCTACTTAGAGCTTAACGGTATAACTTGTGACCCTCACAACAAGCCCACCAGGTAGATTCTATTCTCATCCTCACTTTGTTGATAAGAAAACAGGTACAGAGAGGAAGATGACAGACTCAGCTAAGTGTGGTACCCAAACCCCCATCTTTAACTCTTCAGATTGAGTGCCGGCTGGGGAACAGGCTGCAGCCAGTCCCATGAGGTGCTTGGGGAAAATCACAGATTCCAATCCCTCCCCCTGGGATGCTGGACGGGCACCAGACTGTTCCCTCCGCCTCACCCCTAACCCTGCCCTCCCAGGCCACGCCCTCCCTCTTGGGCCTCACCAGCCATTGGCGGGGAGATGAGGATGGAGATGCTCTCCAGGATGGTGCAGAGGCCCAGGGCCCTGGAGAACCGATCCATGGGGACCACGTCCATGAGGACCTGGAAGAAGAGGGCGCCCACCACGCTCATGGACACGCTGTACACCAGGCAGTAGACCACCAGCACTCGGAAGTTGGCCGACACCGTGCACACCAGGTTGGTGAGCCCGTTGAGCAGAACTGCGAGGCTGAAGAGGTACTTGCGATATCTGGCGAAGTTCTGGCGGCCGGCCACCAGCCCGGCCATGGGCCGCAGGAAGATGTTGCTAAAGCCGATGATGGAGATGAGCAGGGCGGCCTTGTGCTCGTCGATCCCGTGCCGCATGGCGAACGGCACCAGGAAGACTTGTGGCAGCGGGAAACCGAGGATCATCCACGTGACACCCAGCGTGAACACGCGGTAGCCAGCGTTGTGCCACAGGATGTCGAAGGCCAGGTGGCGCAGGATGGCCCGGCCACATGCGGCCAGGCAGCCGGGCGCCGGTGTCTTGGAGGGCACAGAAGGGCCTTCTCTGGGTGCAGGGGCCACGCTGGGGGCCACGGGCCTCAGGATGGCGCCGCAGACGCAGCAGTGGAGGAAAACCCCGCCGAAGACCAGGAAGGTGCCCCTCCAGCCCAGTTCCTCCAGGAGGTGGCGGGCCAGCAGCGGCCAGAGTGTGATGCCCAGGGAGACGCCCACCGAAGCCACAGCGTTGGCCAGCGCCCGCCGGCGGGTGAAATAGAAGCCCAAAACGGTGATGGTCGACTGGAAACTGAAGCACAAGCCCAGGCCTGTGGTGGAAGAGGGGAGACCAGCTCGAGGGCGTCCTGGGGCCTCCCACAGTGGGTCACGGGGTCATGTCCCACATCTGCTCTCCTTCTCTTCCAGCCCAAACCTACCTCCAGGTCCCCAGAGATTTAAGATGGAGTCAGCCTGCCTGCTCTCCTCCCAAGAAACATCCGCCCCTCAGATCTGCCCTCCCAAGGCCGCCAGGGGCACACCTGTCCCCTTGGCACAGTACCCAGGTGATCCTTAAAAACTTAACATCAGCCCGGTTGCTGTGGCTCAGTGAGCGTTGACCCATGAACCAGGAGGACATGGTTCAATTCCCCGTCAGGGCACACGACTGGGTTTCGGGCTTGGTCCCCAGTGTGGAGAGTGCAGGGGGCAGCCAATCGATGATTCTCATCATTGATGTGTCTATCTCTCTCTCCCTCTCCCTTCCTCTCTGAAATCAATAAAAATATATATATATTTTAGCCCTAGCCAGGCCCTGGTCAAAGCACATGCAGGAGGCAACCAATCAACGTGCTTTTCTCACGTCGATGTTTCTCTCTGTCTTTCCCTCTCTCTTCCACTCTCTAAAAAAAAACACCAAAAAAACAAAAAATATATATTTTTTAAAACAACAACAACTTAAAATCAAAGTAAGCCTCTCCCCTGCTTAACACCTTCCAGAGACTTCCCATCACACCGAGGGGAAAAGCCAAGTATTTACTATGCCCCGGGAGGCTCTGTACCATCTGGCTCCCGCCACCTCTTGGGTGCCATCTCAGGCCACGCTCCCGTCACTCACCGGGAGGCAGCCACATCAGCTTTTTTCTCTTCCTCGGGACACCACGCCGCTCCCTCCCTCAGGACATGGCTGTTGCGTTCCCTCTGCCTGGAACACTCTTCCCCCGACTTCCCTCCCCTGACTCAGCGCAGAAGCCGCCTCCCCACCCACTCTGCGCCTGCCCCCCGCACAGCTGGACGTTCTGGAGAGAAAGCTCACAGCCGGCCAGGACCACTGGCCTCAGGCGGGCCCTGGGTGGCCAGATCTGTCGTCCATCTGCTCTCCCTCCTCCTGGATGACGCCCGGGCTTTCTTCCTCTTCATACTCCACACCTCACCCCTCCTCGCTCCCAGCTGACAGCCGCCTCGCCTTCCCGCCACTGACAGTGGACCATCGGTGCTCCCAGTCAAGGCCAGCCCTTTCCTTCTGCCCTGCATCTTGTCCACTCAGAGGCATAGCCCGCCAGCAATGTCCCTCTCTCCTGCATGACCCGTTTTTCTCCTCTTTTCTAGACCATGCTCCTTCGTTGTTATTTCTCTCATTAAAAACAAAACACAACCCTCCCTTGACCCCACAGCCTCTACTGGGTCCCCGCCCATTTCTCTGCTCCCCTTCCACCGAAATTTCGTGCAAGGTTCGATCAGCTCAGCCATCTCCCGTTGCCCTCCTCCTGTGCTCTGTTGAAACTGTTCCCATCAGACTTTCACCCCCACCTCTGCTCCAGAATGGCTCTCGCCGAGGTCACCAACCTCTCCATTGCCAAATCCAGAGAGCCTGGGCCCCACTCGATCCGACCGACCGGCAGCCGCTTGGCACACTGAACCCCTCCCTCTTCCTCTCGAACTTCATTCTTTCTCCCAAGAAACCCCACCCTCTGGGCTCTCCCACTTCTGTCACTTCTTCCCGTCTGGACCACTACACACGGGAGCGCCCTGGGCTCAGTCCTCCCTCTCCTTTTGTAAACAGCAGGACGACACCTCAGCTCAAGACTTGAATACCAGCCCTCTCAGAATGTCCCAACAGCTCGCTCAGCTCAGGACCTGTCCCACACCTGAGCTCCCCGTCTTCCTGCAACCCCCCCCTTCTCTCCCCTCGTTTCCCAGGGTGGTTAGTGGCTGCTTCATTCTTCCAGCAGCTCAGGGCAAAGAGGCCTGGGGTCAGCCTTCCTGCTCTTGGGTCACCCTTAACTCTTCCCTGCACTACATGTGCGTGGCCTCCTGCAGTGTTTTCTGAACACCCCGGCCAGCTGGCAGGTGCTTTGCAAACAGTGGTCAGATGAATGTCACTTACCCAGCCGCCCGAACCCCTCACATGACTTCCCATTTCACTACGACCGAACCCCCATCCAGCCTCCACCCCTTGTTCATGCCCCTCTACTCAACTGGCCACTGCACTGCCCCTGGACACCCCAGGGCCTTGGCACTTGCTGTCCCCTCAGCCTGGAATGCCCTTCCCCCCAGAACCTAGGGGCCGACTCCCTTCTTCAGCTCTCTGCCCAGCCCCCCTTCCTCTCAAGGCCTCCTCCGCTTGCTTGTTGCAAACAGCAGCCTCCCTTCGACCCTGGGCGTTCTTGACATTTTACATGTTTCCTTGTTTAATCTCTGCTCACCACCACCCTCGGCCAGGACGCTGTCACATCGGCTGTCCTGTCTTCTCACGCACTTGTCTTGTCGCGATCAGATATGCTCCTCATTTATCTGTCCCTGGCCTCTCCCCTTTGTGGGCTCCCTCCTGTGAGCAGCCCCAGCGACGAGCTTTGCCTGCCCTGTTCACTTGCATGTGACACTGTTTAATAGGCGCCCAGTAGTTCTCCAAACGGAATGACAATCACCTGTGAAGAAGCCTGCTGTGAGGTAGAGCTGGCCGAGGGTGCGGCAGAAGGAGCTGGCCACCATGCCCAGGCTGGCCAGCACGCCCCCCACCATCACTGTGGCTCGGCAGCCGAAGCGTCCCACCAGGATGCTGCACAGGGGTCCTGTGGGTGGAGGCAGGAGGGGCAGGGATGAGAAGCCAGCCAGCAGCTGAGGAGTCCCAGAGGGAGGGGGCCGGGGAGGCCGGGAAGGGGTCCCAGCAGGAGCTAGCCAGGAGGCTTAAAGGGTCATAAGCCCTGGAGCCAGCAGTCCTGGACCCTGATGCCCACCCTGCCAGACTGGCCATGGGACCCCGGCAAGGCTCTCTCTCTCTCTACCTCAGTTTCCTCTCCTACAGAATGAGGAATCCGGCTGGGGGAGGGGTGACCAGGTGTGAGGTGACGTGCTGCCAATGTCCAGTTTGACCCAGACAAGAAACAGGACTGGCTCATGGCGAGGTGCGCTCTTCACTGGGGGGATCTGTCTCAGGGGGGTGAGGGGGCCCCAGGTATCTAAATCGTAATGAGCACCCCTGTCCCTACTCCTACCCCATCCTCAAGAAGACTGGCCACAGCCCTCCCTCCAGCCTCCCACCTGTCTAGGGTGAGCAGCTGGGGCCTTGGGCCACTCTACACCCCTTTGCACTGGCCTCTGGAGAAAACTGGGTGGGGTACCTTCTCCCCTCCCCCATCACCTCCAGCCACCACCAGAGCCCAGCACCCAATGTGTGGCTGCTGCTGGAGAGGGGCCTGTTTTCCTCCACCCCACCCCCATCCTGAGCGGCTTTCTCCGGGCCCAGATCCAGCCAGTCCTGGCCAGCTGCTCCTCAGCACCTTGCAAGGCCCCATTCGCCCAGTGCCCTGCCCCCAAGTACCTGGAACTGAGTTTCGGGGAAAGTGTGTGTGTGCGCACGAGGTTTGTGGGTGTGCGTCTGGGGTGAAGAGGGGGTGTGTGCGTGTAGCCGGTATGAGATGGGGAGTGAAAGGGGAAGTGAGCAGCCCATCCTCAGAGATAATCAAGCAGAGGCAGCAGTAGAGGGAGAGGCGAGGCTTTGCCGTGGGTATGACCACGGGCCCACACAGGTTCCCCACCACCACACTGTGACCGTCTCGGGAAAGGTGATATTGGGGAAAGCCCTGAGTCATGGAGTCGGGGGTGGGCCTGGGCCGGGAGCCAGCTTAGCTGAGATAGCTGAGATAGCTGAGGGTGCTGGGGTGGGGCGCTGCGAGGCAGGGCGGCTCTGGCAGGAGCCAGACTCACTCTGCAACCTTGGGCAGGCCTTGTACTTTGCTCTTGCTTTCCTCATCTCTGAAATGTGTGGGAGCAGGCGGGGGGGGGGGGCGCTTAGGATCAACGATACTTTCCAATTTAAAATGTCTATCAGTCTCTGAGCATGGGCTAAAGGTGTGTGTGTGAGAGAGACAGACAGACAGGAATCCCAAGCCGACTGAGGTGCTGGAGAGCCTGCCAGGGGACAGTGAGTCGAAAGCTGGCTGGGGAGTGGGGGTGCCACTAGATGCCCGGCTCCCAGCCTCTGGCCCAGACCATCTGGCTGCATGGAAGGAGCCCTCTGCGACGCCCACTTCTGCACCAACCCTGCAAGCGAAAAGGTCATGCGGTCTGGGCTCGGCCTGGCCTTTTCCCCTTGCCCTGAGCCCATGCCCCGGGGTGACAGGTTCAGGGTCATTCCAGCAAAGGTGGCACCTCGCAGTCTGTCCTCCCTCCCGATTGGAGGGAAGGAAGTGGAAGAACAAGCAGGCTACTGGTGCCAGGTGGAGGGAGTGGCACGAGGTAGGCAGGGAGGTGGGGTCTGCTAGGCAAGCACCCCACACCCTCACGCAGGGCGAGCCCTGCGGCCCCACCAGACCCCGCTCCAGGTGACCAGGCCTCCCTGGAGGCCACAGCAACCAGAAGCTGGGGCAGGCCCCTGAGCCCGAGGCTGCTGGGCAGACTGCCTGGACAGCTCCTGACCTTCCCCGATGGCTGGGGTCAGGGTGAGGTGGTCACAGTCCTGGAGGAGCCCACCAGGATATGAGGGGGCTGTCTCCTCCATCCCCCAGCCCTTGCAACTCCCCCTCGCTGCCTGGTGAGAGATGGGGCTCTGGCAATGCCCCCATTCTGCTCCTGGTGTCTTCAAAGAGCCCCCTTCCTGTCTGAAGCCCGGATGAAGGTCTCCAGGATACAAGCCTTCAGAGCGGCTGACATTTCCCTCCCTCGTGATCTCCCTACGATCCCATGTGCGAGGTGGGCAGGACGCCGGGTGTCACCCCCATGTTGCAGGGGAAGGAACTAAGGTTCAGGGTGATCTCCCAGCTGGACCTCAGGCCGCGCCTCCTCTAGTCTGGATCCATCCCGCAGTGGCCATTGAGAGGACTGGCTTAGCATCTAAGGTGCCTCCCCAGCCCTTTCCCAGCCCCGCCCCGCCCCACCCAGGATTCCAAGCCAGGGAGCAAGCGGGCCCTGCTGAAATCCAGTGAAATCTTAGGAATTCACCCGAAAGGCAAAGCTTGTGGCCTCCAAGAGAGGACGCAGGAGGTCAGCGAGGCCAGCGAGGCTGTGGCTCTTCGTGCCCCTCCCTGGCCCCTCCTCAGGCTGCTTACCCCCCGCGTGGAGCATGGCCGTCAGGATGGAGGGGAACCAGGAGGTCTCGCTGTTGTTGGCCTGGAACTCCCACTGTAGCTCAGTGAAGAAGATGCCGATGCACGTGGGGAAGCCCAGGGTGAGGCCCTGGGCCACCACGGCGGCCAGCAGGACCACCCAGGCCCAGCAGCCCTCGGCGCGCTCCAGGGCCGGGGGCATCCTCTGCTGGGAACGCTGCCACGGCCTCGCTGCCACTGCTACCAGTGCCTGGGCTGCCTGGGGAGGGAGGGGACAGAATGAAGCTGCCAGCCTCCCCGGCTCCCCTGCCACCTTTCCTGGGCGGCTGACACCGTCCCTCTTGCCTCCACACCAGGTATCAGAGGAGCATCACCCCCTGGGAGGTGGCCAGGGGCCCACGCGTGGTCTTGGCATCGCCTTTCACCCACTTCCCAGAGCCAGCCTGGCAGGAGGAGCTGGCAGGTGAGGGATCAGTGGAACCGGCAGGTGAGTGGAATTCTTTCTAATCTAACATCACTTGGTAGTCAGCAGGTGGGACTTCCGGGGCAGCGAGCACTGGGTAATTGCTTGGAGAATGGGGCAGGGCCCCAGGGCCAGGGCCGTCCCACTGACCCCACAGGCACGCGCATACATTTCCATTCATAACCAGGCTTCCTGCACACAAACAGTCTTTCGCAACGCCACATCAACAGTGAATTTCTGTCCGCGCTGAGGGCCAAGGTGAGCAAGCTGGTGCCGGGTGCAGCCAAGGAGTGTACAGAACACTTCACAAGGGCACCGGCCTCTGAAAGCCCTACAAGGCTCCTTCTGGAAAGAGCCATGGCCAGGAGTCCAGCCCCACAACATGTTGAACAGTGATCTACCACCTGCAAGGGCTTCTCGGTGCACTACCCCTCCAACACACAAATACATACACAGTCACACGTGCACAAATCAAGACACATGCTCACATACATACACACAGGTAGACACACACTGACAAAGACACATGCAGGCAAGCCCAGAGGCATGCAAACAAATGGACAGACACATAGACCCACAGACACACACCCTCACATCTTTGGCTTAGTCCTATCTCAGTTCCTTGCCACACCACCAGGCCACTCCCCCTCAGCACAGAAGCCGCCATAACCAGACCTGGAAGCCCCAAGTCGTCCCCCCCCCCACCCCCGCAAATGCAGAGCCCTTTTCCGGACCCTTCCCTCCATCCTGGCTCTCCCCAACATCCTCAGACCTCACCTGCTCTCGGGGCTCCAGGTACGGCAGGCAGTGGGAGCAACTTTGGCCTCCGTGAAGCCACGGGTCCCAGGAGCTCCTGTTCCCACAGCCTCCCTCCTTTTAGCTCCAGGCCCAGGGAAGATCCATGGGAACTCAGAAACCGCTCAGAAACATGAAACCCCCTCTTCCTGCCAAGCCCAGCAGCCCACACCTTTCCCCCAGGCCAGGATCTTGCAAACGGCCCCTAAGCTGGACCCACCCTAAAGTGATTGCTTCAGGTGCTCAGCTCCCTTCTCAGGGTACAGCCCTGCCAAGAACATCGTCCCATTCATCCCAGCCTCAGGGTGTGCGTGTGAGCGTGTGTGTGACGGTGAGCCCTCGTGCGTATGGGCCAAGGGCACCTCCTGCCCTCCTGGCTCCTGCCTGGGACGCTGGCCCTAAAGATCCCCTCGGCCCCGATCCTCGGGCAAACCTCAGATTCAACTCCTCCTCGCTGGCTCAGGCCCCTTCCAGGATTTCTGTTCCCTCAGCAAATGGAAAGGCCACCAGCGCCACCTGATCCCCTCCACGGTGACCTGAATGTCAAGTCTCCGCACCCGTGTCCGTAGCTCGCCCCTCCTCCCTGACACATCCCGGCCCCTCAGCTTTCCAGGAGGTGCTGCTTTCCCCTGCGTCCCCACTTCCTCCTGCTCTTCCCTCTGCTGCACCCCCAAGCTCCAGGGCCTTGCGTTTCCCTTCAGAGCAGCACAGTCACGGACAAGAGGTGGCAGGGAGGGGAGAGGGGAGAAGAGACATGGTCCCTCCTTGTGCATCCCTGTCCTGCCCCTCCGTGGAGCGGTCTCCCTAGTGCCCGTCTCAGCAGCCCTTCTCTAGTGGGGACCTTCTCTCTGCACCCACCTTCCCTCCAGAAACTTCCGGGAGCTGGCTCGTCACAGCTTCTCCTCCCTGGAGACCATCAGAGCCGAGGAAACCACTCGGGACCCTTGCCCTCTCTTAGCTTGCTGCCTCCCAGCCTGGGGGACCCCTGGCGTTCTCCCTGGGAGCTCCCCTGCAGACCCAGTCTTCCGTGAGAGAGAGAGCCGTCCCCTCACACTTCAGCACTCCCAGGCT